GGAGATGGCTCAGTAGAAAAAGCGCTTGCCTGGCAAGCACAAGGGCCTGAGTTCATTCCTTAGTTCTGAAAAAAAAAAAAAAAGAAAGAAAGAAAAGAAAAGAAAAAAAGAAAAAGAAACAAACAAACAAAATTACCCTTCTGGTCACACTGGGCCTACCCTGATACTGCAGAGGAGTTACCTCATCTCAAGATCCTTAGCTCACTGACATCTGCAAAGTTCCTTTGCCATATAAGGCAACTTATTTATAGGTGTTGGAAACTAATATGTGGACATCTTTGGAATTGGGATGTGGACTATTTGAGGAGTTATTCCTCTGTCCTCAAATATTTGCATATTTAGTGTACATATGAGCTGTGTTAGATGCTTGGGAAGCTAAAGATGGTAAGGGCACAGCCCCCTGCCTTTGAGAAATGACAGTCAAGTCAAGGCCCAGGTAATATTTTGTAACAGGCCTGATGCCACATACCACATCCCTTAGAATTAGCCCCACGTCTTACCTTCTTTTTTTCTTTCATACTAACGATTGAATCCAGAGTCTCTGTACTGAGCTACATCTCCAGCCTTTTTTTTTTTTTTGTAATGTAGTTGGTTGTTGCAGGGTCTCACTACACAGCTCAGACTGAATTAGCGATCTTCCTGCTTTCAGCCTTCCCAGTCCTGGGATTACAGGCATGCGCCACCATGCCTGGGCTCTGACCCAAGCAGCCTGCCCTGGGGGGTGGGCTGGCACAGCATGTGGTGCTGGGGATCGAACAGTGGTCCTTGCATTTGCCTAAGCAGGCGCTTTAGTCTACTGAGCTATCTCTCTGGCTTCTCTCCAGCCTTTTTAAATTTTTTTTTTTTTGAGACAGGGTCTTGCTATGTAGTTGTGGCTGGCTTTAAACTCATTATGTAGCCCAAGCTGGCCTTGAACTCTCGACAATCCTCCTGCCTCAGCCTCCCTAGCATGGCACCACACCTGACTCTATGGTTTGTTTTCTTTTGAGACAGGGTCTAGCTATGTAGTCTAAGCTGGCTTTCAACTTGCTATCTAGGCCAGGTTGGGCTCAAACTTGAAGTGATCCTCTTGCCTCAGCCTTCCCAGTGCTGGTACTGAAGGTGTGTACTATACAAACCACAAGGGTCTTTCTAGGAGGGAGCAGAGTCAAAGGCAGAGAGGGCAGTGTGACAACAGAAACAGTAGGAGACAAGAGAAATTTGAAGATGCTGGGTTGCTTGCTTTGAATGGGTCATCAGGAGCCAAGGAATAGAGTCAGTCAGCATCTAAGAGTTGGTAAAGGGAAAGGCAACAGATCTTTTCCTGGAGACAACCAACCCTGCTTACAATGCCTTGATTCTAGGCCAGCAAGCCTGAGTTGGGACATCTGACCTCCAGAATTGTAAAAGAATAAATTTGTGTCACTAAATCCACTAAGTTTGTGATCATTTGTTATAGCACACCTAGGAAACTCATCCAAGTACCTGCTATAGAGATATTGGGAGGAAAATTCTACATGATACCGTAGTTGATGGAATGTGGTGGCCAGAGAAAAGCCCATTTAGGGTCAGGCAAATCTCTCCAGACACCCATTCCTCTGAGCTTCTCTAAATCAGGTCAAACAGGGCTGTGGAGATAGCTCAGTGTTTTAAGAGTCTGCCTAGGCAAGAGCAAGGACCCGGATTCGATCCACAGTACCACATGCCATGCCAGTCCCACCCCCAGGCGTGCCAAGCTGGCCACAGAAACCAGACATGGTGGTGCATGCCTGTAATCCCAGCGCCGGGGAGACTTAGGAGGATCACTACAAATCTGAGCTGTGTAGCGAGACCCTGAACCAAATACATAAAACTTTTAAAAAATCAGGTCTAACATCCCAGTGGGGACCAGATATCCCTGTGTTCAAATTCACATCTTCCTGATAGTTTCTAAATTCCCAGAGGGCTGGCCAAATAGCTCAGCGGATTAAAGCGCCTGCAAACAGGTGCAGAGGCTGGGGGTTTGATCCGCCCCACTCCCCAGGCACTCTGAGATAGCAATGGAGACTGGATGTGGTGGTGTGTGCTTGTAATCCCAGCTCTTGGAAGGCTGTAAACAGGCGGTTCACATGAGTCCAATCTAGTAGCGAGACCCTAAATACCCTGTAGACCCTTCCCTAAAATACAAACAAATAAATAAAATAAAATAAATAAATTCCCTGAGCATTGGGTCTCTCATTTCTTTGCTTCTTTGTGGCAATCAGAACAGATTCTGACATCTAAAAATTTTCCCACAAAGGGGCAAAGAAAGAATGAGTATAAATGAACCTAATGAGAGGAAATACAGCAAGAAATCATCTAAGTCTTCAAGAGCTGAGGCTCACATTAAGTTGTCCCTCCCCCTCAGGAGCAAGTGTGAGCTTCGCACTGTATACAATTCCAGGCTGGCACCATATGCACTTACTGAGAACCCAACTGGGATAGCCAGAGAAACCTGATCTATTCCTAACTCAGGTGAAACCCACATGTCCCAAAAGGAGGGACCTCAGGAGGAAACTGACATTTGTTCAGGGCATGCTATGAGCTCAGCCTGTCAGAGCTATTATGTCATTTTGGCCTCACAGTATCTCTGAGGAGCAGGAATTATTTTTCCTTACTTTACACTCAAGAATCCTGGGGCTTAGAGAGGTTGAGTAGCCTGAAGAAACTCCAGAGATCCACAGCTATGAAGCCAGAGGGCACAAACCCGGGGCTGTTTGACTTCTATTCTTAACTCCCAGTTCCCCAGGTCTCTTTTGTGTAAAAGAATCCTGGGCTTTCAGCTTCCCACAAATTCCCATTTAGAGAGTAGGGACATTCCCTGTCCAAGGCTGTCTCAGAAAGGTTCAGTCTAGCTTTCCCGGACAGACTCCCTGCTCCAGGCTATTTGCAGACCTGGCTCCCTCAGCTGCCTGCTCGCCTCCCGTGCTCGCACCTTGGTGAGCTTCTTGGCACCAGTCTTCAGGGTCACCGGTATCAGCAAGGCCAGCTCCTGCAGTTGGGTGGTGTGGTTTTTCTTCTGATTCCTGTTTTGGGACAAGATCTGGCTTTAATTAGGATATCCAGGGCTGAATTTTGCATCTGACCCCCAAATCAGTTTTAGTGTTCTTCATCTCAAGGTTGTCCCTGACCCCCACTCCATGCCACATAAGACAGTTCTAGGCTTTGTCTGAACTCATGTTCCCTGAACTCCTGGACCTACTGGCCACCAGATCTTGCCCGTTCCTCTTCCCATCCTTTCTCTCCATCACCACAGCCTTTCTTTAGTGCATCCTGGTAGCCACACACCTCCTGTCTGGCCTCCTCCATCCATCCTCTCTACAAGAGGCAAGGTAAATTTCCTGAAACACAACACGAGTCTGATCAAGTCACTCTTCTTCAAACCCCTCAAGGTCATTCCATTCTGAAGTATCAACTTTATTTGTTTTTTAAGATTGACTTTCACTATATAGTCCAGGCTGGCCCTGAACTCACTATGTAGCCTGGGTTGGTCTCAAACTCATAGTAATCCTCCTGTCTCAGCCTCTTGAGGTCTAGGATTACAAGGCTGTACCTCTACACCCAGCAAATAGCAAGTTGAAATTGTTCACATGGCTTCTAACATCTTTTCTCTTCCTACCCTGGCCCAGCTAACCACTTTGGCTCCATTTTTACTCTGGCTTATTGGAATCAACTGACTCTCATTCCACAGGAAGCTGGGAGAGACCACTCGAAACTCCCAGGCCCTATGTTCACACCTGTCTCTGATCTCTGCACCAGGCTATCACTTAGGTGGGAGCACCTCTGTATCCCTAGCACCTAGACCAGGGTCTGGCACATTTCAGGAACTCAATGTACTTTTTTTTTTTTTTTTCCGGAACCAGGGGTTGAACTGAGGCCCTTGTGCTTGCCAGGCAAGTGCTTATTCTACTGAGCCATCTCCCTGGCCCCCTCAATGTGTTTTTGCTAAGTGAATGAATGAATAGAAGAAGTTGGATTCGGGGCAGCTGCAGTACTTCCAGGACCTAATCCCTGAGCTCATAATTCATGGTACTCTCCTGTACATACACCTCCACCCTCTCCCCTGACAGATGGCAACACAAAGGCTCTGAGGTCCTTCCCTCAAAGGCCACACCACTGTCACCACTTGGGACTCCGTCAGGGCCATCTGAACACTTCTGTCATCACCAATGCCTGTCCCATCTTCCTTCAGGGTCCACTTCAGCTACTTTTTCCTCACCTCTCAATGTCCATAGCACCGTGTGTCACTTGCAGTATGGCCAAACCAAAACTACTCTCTTGATGATGGATATATATTTATCTCCTATTCACAACCATACACTCATAATACCTGACTGCCAGGCCCTGTGTGGGACATTACAGAGAAGGAAAGGGATGACTCAGGCACTGCCCTGAGGGCATATGGGGGTAGTGTAGGAGACACTTTTATTATTACCCTAACCAAACTTCAACCAGGGTCGATCCCCCATCCAGCATGCTGCCCTGGCCCCACCCCTAGGGCACACTGAGTCAGGGAAGGAGTTCAGGTGTGGTGTTGCATGCCTGTAATCCCAATGCTGGGGAGGCTGAAAACAGGATGATCACTAGGAGTCCACGCTGCATAGTGAGACCCTGTACCAAATACATAAATTAAAAAAAAAAAAGAAGCCTAACCAAACTCCAGATTCATGAAAATATTTGCTATGGCTTATATCTAGGTGTCCCTGATGGGATATCCCTTATATCTAGATGGCCAGCCTGAACTACACTGTAAGACCCTGTCTCAAAAAATCCAAAAGAAAAAACAGGTGCAATAGCACAGGGCTGTAATCCCAGCACTTGGGAGGCTGAGGCAGGAGGATGTCTACAAGTTTGAGGCCAACATGGGCTACACAGTGAGTTTAAAGGCCAGGTTGGACTACCTGGAGGGAACCTTCTCTCAAAAAGAAAGAAATACAAGCTATATGTGAATGTACACCTGTAATCCCAGCACTCAGGAAGCTGAGGCAGGAGGATCCCTGAGAGTTTCAGGTTAGCAGGGCTACACAGTAAGTTTAAGGCCAGCTTAAACTACAGATCAAAACAAACTGACCCACCCAATAAAAGGAATCAATTAATCAATCAATCTAGACAATCCCCCAAAGCCTCATATACTCATACGTGGAGTTTCTGGAAGATGATCAAATCTTAGAGGCTATATCTGACTTGTTGCTAGGAGGTGGGGTCTGGCTGGAAGACGTGGGCCCCTGGTGGTGTGACTTGGAAGGTTTATTTCCCTCCCCAGCTCCTGGCTTTGCTCAGCTTCCTGGCTGCCACAATATCAGCAGCTTTTTTTTGCAGCAACCCCTTCATCTGAAGCCTTCCTGCCTTGGAGCTAGTTGACTATGGACTTAAATCTCCAAAATCTATGAGCCAAAATAAACCTCTCCTCCTTTAAATTGTGGGTGTGGGATACTGTGTCTCAGTGACCACAGCAGAATCTTTTCACCCATTCATTCAGCCATTACTGAGCACCTACTTTATGCCAGGAAGTATTACAGGTAACAAGGCTAAATTTCTAAAGAACAAATATAGTCCTCTTGAGGTGACAGTATAGTTGGGGATAGTCTTTGACAAATTGCCACACTATGAAGTATAAAATTATAACTAGAACCAGAACAAGTGATATAATTTTTGGGGTATTATAAATGAAACTGTGGGATCTTTTACTCAGAATTAAGAATTTCAGGGGCTTTGCCAAATAGCTCAGTTGTTTAAAGTGCTGCTCGGGCAAATGCAGTCAGGCACATAGGACCATGGTTCAATTCCCAGCTCCAGAAGCTACACCAGACCTGCCTTTAAGGTACCAGGAAGTAACAACAAAAAAGAAAACAAAAACTCCTCAAATTTTTAGGGCCGGCACACAGGGGATGGGGGTTTGATCACTGGGCTTGCTGTGCCATCCCTGCCCCTGGGGCGTGCTAAGACTGGGTGTGATGGCACATGCCTGTAATCCCAGCACTTGGCTGAAAACAGGAGATTCACTATGAGTCCAATCTAGTAGTGAGACACTGAATACTCTGTAGACCTTTCCCTAAAACACACACACACACACAGAAGAATTTCAGAGAAAAAAAGAATTTCAGAGCTAGGGATATAGCTTAGCAGCACAGTGCTTGCCTGATAAGTGTGAGGTCCTGAGTTCAATTCCTGGTACCAAAACCAAACCAAAACAAACAAACAAACACCAGAATTTCAGCAGGGCACGTGGCACATGCCTGGAATCCCAGAACTCGGGAAGCAGAGGCAGGAGGATTGCTTTAAGTTTGGCACTAGACTGGGCTATATAGTGAGTTCAATCCCACCCTGCACTATGTAGTCAGACCCTGTCTCAATCCTTCCCCCACCCCTCCAGGCTGGGGAGACAGCTCAGTGGCACAGTGCCTGCCTGGCAAACACAAGGTCCTGAGTTCTATCCCCAGTCTCCCAAAACAAAAACATCCTCCTCAAATAAAAAAAGGTGGACTGCATTTGATCCTGAGTACTGAAAGAAAAAAAAAAAAAACAAACAAGCAAGTGATGAGGACAAAAGATTAGCTCAATCATCAGGCCATTCTAGGCACAAGACCCAGTGTGACTGCACATGTCACATACCCACATCCCCTGAGTGGGTCCTGCTCAGGATAAAAGTGTTCCTTGGTGTTATGGAAGCATGTAACATGGAGCTGTTAGTATGTGTGCTGCCAGGGTGAGCACAACATGGAGCTTTAACCTAGTAGAGGAGGGGCTCAGAATAGGGGGCTTTGACCTAAACAGTAAGAGCTCTTCTGAGGAAGTAAACTTGGCCAGACCTGTTCTGAAGATGAAGAGGGGAAGAAAGCACTCCAGACAGAAGGAACAGGAGCAAAGACCCCACCGCACGAAGAAGCATGGAGAATTGAAAAGAAAATGGAAGTGCCTGGAGCACACAACGCAAGATGTCCTGTGGGGGAGTCCACACTGGAGGAGGCAGAGACCATGTGAGGCTGGGAATCCTAGGCCCACAGTATAGAGGAGGGCTTTTTCGGCCTTTATCGTAAGACCAAAGGGAAGCCCTTCAGGGCTCCCTGTAGAGGATGTCATCCTTAGTTCAGGGTCTGAAAATCTTTATTAACACAGGAGACCATACATATAGTAACTGAATGAAGGAATAAAAGAAAAATAATTGGGTCAGGTATATAGCTCACTGGCACAAGCTCCTGCCTGGCAAATGCAAGGTCCTGGGTTCGATTCCTGGCACCAAAATATAAGTCACCAGCTGGTCTCCAAATTACTTCCTCACATCACAGAAACCATAACTTGGAGGAAAAGGGGGGCTGGGGATTCTTTATTTCATCTTCTTTTTTTAAAATCTGAGCTGGCCTTGAACTCTTGAGTGTATGTGTTCCTCCAGCATCAGCCTCCTCAGCAATCTGTGATTCTATTCTTAAAAGAAAACCTAGCACTTGCCTGGATTGTATGAAGTTCTTCATTAAATGTGTAACATGGGGCTTTGGTGGGACGTTAGACCCAAGCCAGTACAGATGTATTTGTTCTTCTCTGGTACACCGACCTCCACTCTATCTCTCTTTTTTTTCAGAACTGGGGATTGAACTCATGCCCTTGCGCTTGCCAGGGAAGTGCTTATTCTACTGAGCTATCTCCCTGGCCCCCTAAATGTGTAACATTAAAGGAAGAAAAGACCGAAGAGAAACTGGGAGGGAAGGGAGAGGAAAGAAAACTGGGTGGGTGGACCTCTAAAGCCTTTCTGGTCCTGATTTTTTCCCCCTTCATCATCATTTTGTTCTAGGACATGTGTAGTCCCAGTGAGAAACAACAGAGAAGCATGGAAGAAAAAGCATCCAGGCCATTGCAAATTGAAGATGCTACTTGATAATGCCTGTCAGTGCTTCACATCAACTGTAGCTCCGGAATGTTTACTCTGGGCGTTTTGTTGGCTTTACTATGAATTAAACCCAGGGTGCTCTATGTGCTAGGCAGATGCACTACCAGAGCTACATACGCAGCCTTTTTTATTTTTAAACAGAGTATCACTAAGTGTTCCATGCTAGTCTCAAACTTGTGGTCCCCCTGCCTCTACCTTGATAGTAGCTGGGAAGATAGCCATGTTTCACCACAGCCAGATTTTACTCTCATTTTGCAAAATTCATGAAGAACCTTCTGGGAGAACATAGACATAGAAAAAAAAAAAAAAAAAACAGAAGGAAGCAAAAATGTGACTGGGAATCTCAAAATACTGGTACGCAGGAGACAGCAGTTTTGAATAGGCACAACCTGGGCTCTGCCTCCAGGGACTTCCAGGACCTGGGTATTCCGTCCCTAAGTTATCTCTCTGCAGATGCTTCTGGGTTTAGCCAATTTCTTTCCTCAGTCTATAATATTCACCCATTCATCTCAGCTCTGCCCTCTGGCTCTGCAGGGAACAGATTAATTTAGCCACAGAGGTCCTCTTTTTTTTTTTTTTTTTTTTTTTTTTTTTTTTTTTTTTTTTGTCTTTTTTGGAGACAGGGTCTCCAAAAAGAACTATACAGCTCAAGCTGACCTTGAGTTCACTTTGTAGCCCAGGCTGGTCTTGAACTCAAAGCAATCCTCCTGCCTCAGCGTCCAAAGAGCTGGGATTATAGGCATGTGCCACCACCTCCGGCTTAATGTTTGTTTTTTGAGATGGGTTCTCCTTATGTAGTTTACCAGCTTTGAATTCACTATGAAGGCCAAGCTAGCCTTGAACTTGCAGTGATCTTTCTGCCTAAGTCTCCAGAATGCTGGAATTGTAGGAATGTACCACTTATCCCTGTTGGAATTTTTTTCTTAATGAAGGAAAGGAATCAAGGAGAAAAACTTACTTAGGTCCCACAAGTCATAATACATCCCTGGTTATAATATTAGCTTCTAGCATCATGCCTAGCACTTTGTAGGTGCTCAATAAAATATCATTAAAATTGCCGGGTATGGAGCACACCTGTAATCATAGCACTTGGGAGGCTGAGGCAGGAAGATTGTTGTGAGTTCAAGACCAGCGTAGGCTATAAAATTAGCTCAAGGCCAGCCTGAACTGCAAAGCAAGACCTTGTTTCAAACAAACAAACAAACAAACAAACAAACAAAAATTGTCAAAGTCATGATGCTATTTCTGTTTTATGATTGCCTCTCAGCCTTTTGAAGTAGGAAATGCCTCTAATTCCTGATTTTCCTCTTATCTAAGATAATTAGCCTTAACACATCCTGGTTACTTTACT